AAATACTAAACAACCTGCTTCCATGGCCGAGATACAGGGCGCCCATATTATAAGGTAAGGTTATAAAACCACCATTTAAGATCATTTTAGTGAAAGTTTCATGTTCCTATCTCATAGAATTTAAGAACAATGATGAATAAATCATTTTCGAGCAAAATTTAAATGGCCGGCTGAATATATTACCGCCGGAGACGCGGCCGCGGAATTTAAATGACTGTGTCAAAGGGTTAATGTCAGAGACCAAGTTTCACACCCATACAGAATAACAGGCAAAATTATAGCTTTGTACATTCTAATTTTTAAGTTTTTAGACAGCAGACAAGAAGACAAAAGGTTCAGAACTGAATGGTAGCAAGCATTAACTGAGTTCAGTATCCTCTTAATTTCCTCCTGAAACCACAGAATGACAGCAGCAAATAAAAATGGGGTCCACTTTGAACATTAAGGGCAACGAAAGCATGTTTTGTGTGTGTGTGTGTGTGTGTGTGTGTGCGCGTGTGTGCGTGCTGCTGTTGAGGTGTCTGCATTTGAAATTGCTGAAGATTAAATTACCAGCCAGTAATTTAATTCGCATGAGAGGAATAATAAGAATCCTAATAATATACAGACATTTTAATACAAAACTAATTGTAAAACATGTCTTTGGGTGACAAGTGGAAGTTTGAGAACAATATTAAAATTAATCTTTAGGAAATCAGTTTTGGTGGTGTAGATTGCTGAGCTAGCTCAGGTTCAGTCTGTAAGGCAGGTTTGGTGTTGGAGGTGCCCTGTCTACTACCAGAAAATAAAGTAGGTAAATTTGTCATAGATACTAGTTAATGGGTATAAGATTTCTGTTTATTGGGTACGTGGTAGTGTAGTTGGTTGAGGCACTATGCTAGAAGCCGGAAGGTCATGGGTTCAAGTCCCGATGAGGTCATTGGATTTTCTTCAGCTGACCTAATCCTTCCGGCCGCACAATGGCCCTGGGGTTCACTCAGCCTCTAACAGAAATGAGTACCAGGAAGTAATTAAATCATTTTACTGGGGAGTAAAGCGCGGCCGACGCGTAAGGCTGACAACCTTACCACAGTCTTTGAGCCAATTGTCTAGATAATGTGGGACTGTCAACGTCTCACAACCCTATGGGCCTTCACGGCCTGGTACAGGGATAGCTTTACTTACTTACTTTCATTATTTTTAATTTCAGAATTGTGACATGCCTTGCTGTAGAGCATTTGAGAGAATTGTACCACTTAGGAACTTGGCAGCTTTGTTGTAATGTAGATGTATGATTAATAGTTCATAAATTAACCAGCTGTTAATTTGATAGAATTATTGCTTTTTTGGACATTATCCTTTGTCCTGTTTTTTTATTTAAAACGACTGTCTCTGTCCTCATGTGAATGCCTACTCAGTTGGCACAAGTGATAATGTTAGTCCCTATTGCCAGACACCAGAACCAACATGAGGGCAAGCAATGCAATAGATTGATGTAATTGGGACACCTGATGATGGCACTATGTTGCCGAAACATGTTGTGAAGTGAGAGGTGAAATTGAGTGCACTACAAGACGGCCACTGTATACATATGATGGATGAGGCAGTATGTATAAATCATCAGTGGTAGTTAAGACAAACACTAAAAAACACTCCACACACATGAGGCCTTGCACTTATTATCATGCACAGTTTAACAGTCAGAATTCATAAAATGAGAGCAGTATCAAATTAGAAGCCAGCACTAAAAAGACAAATTCTGAAAGAAGAGAATATTGTAAAATCAGTTATGGGATATAATCTGTTGATGTATAAAATCAGAGATAAGACAGAAATAGATATACATATAGATAAAACAAGTGTTGAAGATTAAAATTTAAGAAGACAAAAATTTCTGTATATGAAATAGAGCCTAAAAGGAGATAAAAGCAAGTTTTAAATGAGGCATCTGTATAGTTCCAACATAAAAACAAAACTTTATCATATAATCTTAATTGGATGGAGCCGTAGTTTTCTGACTTCTGCTCCAATGATGAGAGTCCAGATGGGAGTGATGTCCAAGATGGGTTGACTGATCGGATGAGCTACCAGAGACTTCTGGGCAGATTGCTTGTATTTCCCATAGGTGGAATTCAGTTCAATCTGCAGGACCTTCACTACTTTTCAACATTTTTGTGGCCTTCTTTGTATGCATGCAGGATCTGTCGATAGGACCTAACTGAGTAGGCTTTTGCCTGAGGATGGAGACATCTGCAAAACGTGAAAAACAGGATGATGGATTATGTAAAAAAATCAGTAATTTTATTAATATACCATGTCACAAACTTTTAGATCTTATGTATTTTGTTGATCTCGTTGTATTAATATTTTAAAACTTTAGTTAATATGTTATTAGCCACAGTTTGTATGTTGTATTTATACTGCCTATGCTGGAGCTGCAGAATGATTATGTTCTTATAGTGATGGTGAAATAAGTATCTGTATGGAATATATGGATGGTGGGTCACTGGATCTCATCCTGAAGAAGGCTGGACGAATACCAGAATCAATATTACGAACAATTACATCAGCTGTGAGTATTGGGGTTTATTGTTTTCTGGTTGGTCATGTTGCAGTGATAGTGAGCTGTATGTGTATGTTGTAAATTTTATACATGCAGTGAAATTATATATGTACATTACTGGAATTTATACTTACCTTTGTAACTCAAATAATTTAAAGAACTGAAGGACTTTTTTCAAAGAGTGCTGAAATGGATGGTGTTTTTTTTTATTTTCTCCTCCACTCGAGATTTTTGAGTGTAATCACTTTAATATCTTTTTCGGATGATCCCGCAGGCAAATGTTTTCTTTAATCCACTGTGCACTAACAATGTGCCTGACTGCTTGGTACACTGAGAGGCTAAAGATCTAACTCATGGGTCTGTCTCAGCCTTTCCCAGGTAATCTTTCCCTTCTTAGAATACAGTATACAAGTATCCCTCATTTTACAAACACAGGATGTTTGAATTTTTGCTACGATAAAGCCTGTTAATTTATGCCTATTTTTCACTTAACAAACTTCATTTTCGCTATGACAAACAGCTGTAGCCTTTGAGGGGTTCCCCTCCCCCCTTTGCACGGATGGAGAAATACATACACAAAATGTGGGGAGAAGCAGACATCATCGCCCACATGCATCTCCCACCTTCCTAGCCTGTCTGCTTGCATCACTATGATTGTACAGAATCAGTTACTCTCCTGATGCCTACATATTATCCATAAATGTCTGTGTTATTTGTGCCCATTTTGGCTTCCAAATAAGTGAAAGTTGTTGTAAGAGGTGTTAATTAGCCAAAGAAAGTAAGGATAACAATAAGTTTGGCTACAGACTACTTCATTGCATTGCATCATTTATGAGAAAATAAATGTAAGCAAAAGAATGCAGTTTTATTTATAAGCAGTAAATGTTATAAACAAGTAATATTGTAGATTTGAAAGAGTTCTGATGATGATGTGTAATACTCAGAATTACTGGGTTGTATTCTCTAGTGTTTAAATACCAGAAAGGTCAAAAACCCATCAATTCTGAGCCAAGTAATGCTGACTATGTTTTGATGCTTATTTACTATTAAAACATATGTTAAAAATAAGGGGCTATTTTCTAATACTTATGGACAAGTCAGCATAAAGTAATGGGAATATCATTTTTGGTTTATGACTTTTCAACTTATGAACAGTTTTTGTTGAGCAGATTACCTTTATAAATTGAGGGATACTTGTAGTCCAAATTAGCTGCACTAATAATGAGGGGAAGATGGACGGTTGAAAACGTGGATAATTCAAGATATGGGAATATGTAGAAGTACATGTAGCATCTGATGTATGTAATTATCTTGAAAACTGTAAGAATTATGGAATAAGTGCAGTGAACATACAATGTGTGTTTCATTTTTCTCTACAGCTTTTGTTTAAAACATTTTTACTTTTGAAAAGTAAAGTTTAAAGTAAGGTAACACATTTTTTTTTGTGAGATGACTTAATTATGACACAGTTGAGGCAATTCATTATTTCTCAGCATAATTTTGTCTACTGAGACAGTTGTCCCACCGAAAGATGAACTTAACTATACCTTTGCTGTAAAAAATTGGGCTCAATCCCAGTAGCCACAGATGCACTTCAGGTGCAATGTCCATAGCTTTGTTGAAGTGCTTAGTTCACAAGAGCATGCCACTGAGCCCTAGCTTGAACCTGAAATCAGTCTCTGTTCTCACACCCTATCTCCTTTGAATACATCTTACTCTTCCAACTGTGCATAGGTCTCTGTAGTTGTCACTTTTGTTCAGGTTTCCCAACCAAACTTTGAATTAATTTTTTATATTCCCATTTATACTGCATGCCATGCCTGTCTCTTATGTTGAAATGTACAAATTAGAAAGTTTCTTATTAAGCAGTCTCCTGCAGTCTATGATTTTCTCCCTTTTAGGTTCAAATCTTATTGTATAGTAAGCGCTACTTCTTTCTCCTTGATGATGATGATGATGATGATGATGATGTTCCAGTCCAGTTCTTTATGATTTATATGCCAAGTAAACAGCTACAAGGCCAATTATGGAAACATCACAGTGCAAATGCTAACAGTTACAATACAGACAGACAAGAACCAAAGATAACAGCAGCAAGACCAGTTTAAGAACCTTACATCAAAGAAAAGCTTAAAGGCAGTAAGAGCAAGAAAAATAATGCCAGTAAACAATAAAGTAGTTTTGAAAAAAACAATACGAGTTGTTAATAATAACATCATTTCAATTAATTCTTTTATTTTACATGCTAATGCAGTAGGACATACTTTTATATATACAAACATGGCTTTAGTCCACAAGCAGACTATACCGACTTAGCGACTGCCACTTGTTGGCCAAGTTAATGCCAACTTTTGCAGATAGAGGGTGTCTTGCGGTCAGTGTAACGAATCCCCACGGCTGTTAATTTCGGTTTTCTAGACTGGAGCCACTACTTTTCCATTCAAGTAGGTCCTCAATTATCCTCTCAAGGCTGAATGGACCCTGTTCCAGACCCACTACTTTTCAGAAAATCTGGTAGTACCAGAAATCAAACCAGGGGCCTCTTAATCTGTAGCCAAGGCATGTTAAGAATATTAAGGTGTATCAGTAAACAGTTGTGTAGTTTCAGAAAACCAGTAGGAGTAACTGTAAAATATGATTGAGAGAAACTGCTTGGTTTTAAAACATAACAAAGTTCCTGTCACCATGTTGGCAACTTAGGTGCACTGAGCAGGAGAGTGTTCAATTAAGAAATGAACACTGTACACTGAAATGTCTCAAACATAGCAAGTAGATGATTAACATTTTCCAGAATAGTGGTGGTGGTTATGAGGAGGAGGAGGGAAGGGCACTCTTACCCCCCCCCCCCATGTAATTATCAGGGTAGGCTGTCCACTGGTCAACTGTCCACAAGTGCTTATTCAACAACCTGTATATCTATAGATCTTCACCTCCATATTTGTAGATGTCCTGTGTTATTGTGTTCTCTTGGTTGTCAGTCATGTCCGTCTTGAGCTTTCTTACACTTGATTTCTATGAAATCTGTGTTATCAGTGAATAACATTAATAGTTTGATCAATTTGTTGGTATTAAATCACATTCTGTTGTGCCTTTTGCACCATCTTTTCATGAAGATACTGTATCTAGGTGCATATATTGTGACACCATAATTGTTTTGTGTCGCGTGTTTCAGAAAATACTTGCAGTTAAAACTGAATTGTCTTTTGGGGAAGAATCTGGCTCTTCACTGTACAGATAATTTGGTGTGAACCAGATGGCATGTGGTGGCTTCCTGTACATGATATTAATTTGAAGCAGTTTGATTGCAAAGTTTATACATTTAGAGTTTTGGGAAGTTGGTTGGTTGGTTGGTTGGTTGGTTGGTTGGTTGGTTTGCAACATGAAACTAGGGTAAAAGAGAAAAAAAACTTAACACGGTATGCATGTAGATAAGAGTCAGGCTGCACAGTCACAAAATTGAGCTGCGGTTATTCTGATAATACAGTGAATATCTCAGTAAGGATGTGAGAATAAAGAAAGTTAGTATATATAAAAATGTTGGCGTTTGTCTTTACCGTCATATTTTGGTACTTTTATTGTGACATGTTCTTTAGCTTTTTTGTCTTATTTCACAGGTACAATAAATCTTTACTTGACAGTTCTAGGTTATATAAAGATTACAAAGTACTGGAATCCCTGAATCTCAGAATATGAAGGTTTTATTGCATGTTGTGCAGATGACTGCCAGTGATGTTTTCATAATAATTAAGTTTTTTAAGCTTTTATTTATTTTGAACCATGTGAGGCACATAGGATACCAGTACCCAGAAATCCCACTGCTGTTTTGCTGGTTAGTCAATAATAAGAGACTGAGAACCACTGTGCTGTACTGTATTTTCTAATGAAAATGTCACTGTTCATTCCTTCATTCTTCCAACAGGTTCTGAAAGGCTTGAGTTATCTGAGAGATAAACATGCAATTATACACCGTGATGTGAAACCAAGCAACATTCTTGTAAATAGTGCTGGAGAAATAAAAATATGTGATTTTGGAGTTTCTGGTCAACTCATAGACTCCATGGCAAACTCTTTTGTTGGGACACGCAGTTATATGTCGGTAAGACTTTATTCAATAAATAGGATTGGTATTTAACATTTTTTAAAAATATTGTGCATTGATTTGCACAAATATCTGTATGCTCCACAACTGCATGCTCTTCAGGTACTCCTCAGGAGTAGATTCCATTACTGTAGGCATCTTTGATATAAGTATATATGAGGGAGAGTTAGTAAACAGGTCACAAATGGATATACTCATAAAATGTAAAACATGTGATATTTGAACCTGAAAAGAACATTTCTAGACATATCCTCCACCAACATGAATACACTTGTCCCATCACTTTGCCAGCGCATTGAAGCCCGCAGTAGAGAAGTCTTCTGACTGTTGTCTCAGCCACTTCCACACCTCTATTTCAACCTCTTCGTCATCAGCGAAACTTTTGCCACCAAGGTGGTTTTTAGCAGGCCAGACAGATGGAAGTCACTGGGGCCAAGTCCAGGTTGCAAGGTGGATAATCAAGAAATTCCTACTATAGTTATTGAATTGTCTCCTGTGTTGCTTGGGCTGTGTGGGGTCTGCCATTTTCATGATGAAGCATTACCCCTCTTGCCATTTGGCCTGGACATTTTCTGCACAGTGCATCCCAAAGCTTCAACAGAACTTCACAGTATGGTGCAGAATTCATATTTTCATCACACTTCTGAAAATGGGCTAACAGTACTCCTTGATAATCCCAGAACACAGTAAGGATAACCTTTCCAGCTGATTGAGTAACCTTAGATGTTTTGGCTGAAAGTGAACTGGGATGTTTTCATTGCATTGAAACGTGCTTTGATTTAGGTTGGTAGTGATACACGCATGATTCATCCCCTTTAAGAGTAACATCCTAACAATCCTGTTAAGCATATCTTCTCCTTCATCTGCATTCTGTAGGAGATGTTGCAAAGACAGATCCATTTGGTAAATTTTTTTCTCAATCCTTCAGTTCTCTTGGCACCCACCATATGCACACTTCCAAAAACTTTGAATGATTATGCATTATGCTGCATGCTAAACCATGGGAACTCCCTAGTGCAGTTGCTACACTGTCTGTCATGATCCTCCTGTCAGCTTGAATCAACTCTTCCATCTGCTGCACAGTTGCTTCTGTCACAGTCTCAACAGGGCGACCTGTTTACTGTATGGCGTGATTGGCGTATATTGTTCTTCAGCATTTTTAAGTTACAAATTTTGAGAACCTCTTTGGCAGTTGTTATTTTGTTGTAATGAAACAGCTTGTCCTTAAGTTCTAGGATTGGCATTAAGAAGGTTAAATATGCTTTTTAAAAAATATGATATTTGCATTTAGTTATATCTTGCATTAAATAGTGCACACTTTCCTTTGTAGATGATAAACATGCCATCTAGTGCCCTTTTATTCATATACTCAGAAGTTGTCACCACCATCATCATTCTCTAGCCCAAAAGATTGCAAGGAATTCAGTACAGAGTGATAGTTGGTCTGTTGGTTGATGTTAGTGTTAATATTGCACATTTCTGTGTAACTGATGTGATGTTTGCATTTATTTATAATGTGTTATTATTATTAAAAAGTATTCCATTGCTTCTTAAACATTTTGTCTAGTACCCTGTTATTCACATTCTTAAAATGTTGACTGACCGTTTTTATTGTTTTCTAGCCTGAAAGATTGCAAGGAACACATTATTCAGTTCAGAGTGATATTTGGTCTCTTGGGCTATCTTTGGTTGAAATGGCTTTAGGAATGTATCCCATTCCTCCTCCTGATGCTAAAACGCTGAGAGCTATATTTGGTGAGAGGATGGACTCAGACAACCAAAATCATGTTCCATCCTCCCCAGTTAACAGTAAGTACCAACTTCAAGTGAAGCACTTTGTGCTTCAGTGTAAAGTTCTTTTATTGATGGTCTGTTACATTTCATGCTCATTGGTTCTGAGAAGACTAGCTGTACAAAGGGATTCAGTGGAATAAGCTTTCATTTTGCTGCTGATGGAAATACAGCTGATTTCTGAAACATGCTAGTTTCTTAAATACTGGGACAATGGATGAGTCCAAAAGATGTCATGTCCGGGTGATGAAACAGGTTGACATAGCAGTAATGATCCACATTTGTATTTAGGAGGTGCTCAGTTTAAATCTTGGTGGGGGCATCATCTATCCTTACTGACATTTTTCATGGCTTTCCTCAGTCCATCTAAGGAAAATGCAGGGATAGTATCTTAGTTGAGCTAAGACCATTTCTTTCCAGATCTTTTCCATTTCATCCATTATCCTACCATTTGACACTGTATAGTCAGAAAATGTCATGCAGTAACCCATCAAAAAAGAAAATGTCCAGGTGATATTCCTCACCTGATTCATATTGTTTTAATCACGCAGCTTGCAGTTGAAGTCCTCCTTGGACACCCACAGGTGGAAGTGGAGGCCAAGGCAGGAAATTAGAGACTGTGTTGCAGTGATCAATGGAAACCTAAATCCAGAGGTTTTAGATGTGCATACATGACTCTGGACATGAAAAAAGAACCCATCCTACAGATGAGGGTCTGATAAAATGATACTGAGACATGTCTATGATAAACCCTTCACAATCAGATTTCCTGATAGAAGTAAATGGAAAGAGAAGTTTCAGCCTAGCAGAAAAGGGAGACTAATCTGGTACACAGATGGCTCCAAGACAGTCAAAGGCACTGGTGCTGGGTTGTATTGCCATGGTACAAGGTGAAAAATTAGTTTTAACCTTGGGCAGCGTAACAGTATTCCAGGCAGAGGTGTATGCCATTCAGGCTTGTAAAGTTGAGAATCTAGATAGGAATTATAAAAACAGAAACATCTACATTCTATCAGACAGTCAAGCTGCAATTAAAGCACCTGATAATTACCAGATCAACTCAAAACTGGTCTTGGACCACCACCAATCCCTCATACAACTGGCCAAACATAACAGAGTTCAACTGATATGGATACCAAGTCATGGTAATAAAATGTAGAACAGCTGGCAAGAACAGGATCTGAACATCCATTGATAGGACCTGAATCAGCTTGTGGCATCTCAGTAGGAGAGTATTGCTGGGAATGAAACCGCAGATCAGCTGGCAAGAACAGGAAAGCAGTGAGGGATTGGACGAACAGTAATCACAAGAAACATTGGGAATCTGTAACTGGACTCAAACAGGCAAAGGGACTTATACTAGGGCCCTCTGCCAGAAGAACAAGGGATCTGTTGAAATTAAACAGACCAATTAGGATGGGTGGTAGGGCTGTTACAGGACTCACTCACTCACTCACTCACTCACGGAGCTGAGTCCATCTTGAGAATCCGCCAATTGTGCAGTTACTCAAGAACTTCCCAACATTTTATGGAACCCGAAGGTTCATTACCGTGTACACAAGAGCACTCCAGTGGTCCCTATCCTGAGCTACATAAATCCAATCCACATCATCCCATCCTATCTCTACAGTATCCATTTTAACATTTTCCATCCACTTACATCTTGGTCTTCCCCAGAAAAGGTTCTTTCTGGCTTTCCTATCAATATCCTATATGTATTCCTCTTCTCCCCCATGCTTGCTACCTTCCAGTCCAGAACCATTCGCCTTCTCATCTGCTGTCTAAAAATATAAAAACTAGAGTATACAAAACTATAATTTTGCCTGTGGTTCTGTATCGGTGTGAAACTTGGTCTTTGGCATTGAGGGAAATACATAGACTGAGGGTATTTGAGAACAGGATGTTGAGAATATTTGGACTGAAGAGGGATGAAGTAACTGGAGGTTGGAGAAAACTGCATAATGAGGAGCTTCATAACTTGTACTCTTCTCCAAGTATAATTAGAATGATCAAGTCACGGAGGGTGAAATGGGCAGGGCATGTAGCAAGAATGGACACCTTTACGACCATCTTTTATATACTACGAGGGTGAGTCAAATGAAAACAGTAAAAAAATTTTCAAATATAATTTATTGAATGAAAGCGGTACACAACTATATCATTTTTCTACATAGTCTCCATTTTGTTCAATACAGGCCCTCCAGCATTTACAAAGTGTATGGATTCCTCTAGAAAAAAATTCTTGTGGTTATCTGCACAACCACTCATGCACCGCCTGCTGTACATCTTCATCATAACAGAACTTCTTTCCTCCCATCGCCTCTTTGAGCGGCCTAAACATGTGGTAATCACTTGGGGCTAGGTCTGATGAGTATGGCAGATGTGGAAGACACTCAAAGTGAAAGTCTTGGATTGTTGCAACTGTTGCACGGCAATATGGAGCCAAGCATTGCCATGTTGCAAGAGGACATCTCTAGTCAAAGTTCCACGTCGCTTTGATCTGACTGCAGGTCAAAGATGATTCTTCAAGAGATCTGAATATGAGGCACTGGTGATAGTGTTCCCCCGAGGCGTGTAGTGCTCAATGAGTATGCCTCATTTGTCCCAAAAGGGAGTCAGCATAATCTTCCCTGCAGATGGCTGCATCCAGAACTTCTTGGGTTTGGGTGATGAGGAATGACGCCATTCCTTGCACGTTCTCTTTGTTTCCAGTTGGTGGTAGTGCATCCAATTACAGAATGTTGTTCTTCCTTCGTGCATGTACATATTGGAGCAGCCATCTTCAAACCGGCAATGTGATGGTGTTCTGTTTGTCTGCATTATACTGCCACCTATAGGATACTCTTTATAGCATTGGTAACATGTCTGCCAACTTATAGGACAATGGTGCCATATTTCAAATTTTTATCTCAGTTTTATGGTTTTCATTTGACTCACCTACGTATATCAGGCAGTGTAGCTGGTACAAGTATTGGTACTTCATCAACAGTCACCGGCTTCCCAGCAAGTAACTATAGGTGGTTCAGTAACATCAAACAAAGCAACCTGCATAATGTGAAAACTGTGTTTATGTCAGCATCAGCAGATTGTGGCACAGCAGGAAGCTACTCTAATGAACTGAAGAAGCTAATAGAACAGAAAGATGACTCTCTTACTTACCAATGAAATAAGCATATTTTGGAAGACAATGCCTGCAGGAACATTTATCTCTAAGCATGGCAGAACTGCTCTGAAGTCAGTGTTGTGGAAGATGTACTAACCCTTCTTCTTTGTGCAGATGCCTTAGAAGATTTCCTGATGACATTCATTCTTGTCTACAGAGTGGATGTGCTGAAAGGAAGAAATAAAAATCATTTGCCATTATGTTGGAAGTTTGACTTTCAAATGTCTGTTGCTGGCAGAATGTTCATGTACTGAATAGAGAATTGCTTTGTTCATGTTGTTTAGTGCTGCCTATTAAGTGAAAACCTGGCATTTGAAGTGCTCTGTATCTTAGATAATGTGTGTGGTCATCTGGCTGAAGAGCTCATTCATATGCATCCTAAGACAAGTGGTGTTTATGCCGCCATACACATTTCTTCATTACATCCTGTAGATCAGGGGATGGGAGTGTTCCAAGAGCTACTACACTCACAGTAGTTTTCCACTGTACTGGAGGCTGTTCAGGATGATCATCCATGACCGTCACTGGTTGCTGTAAGAGCTGAACCATAGCTGACTGCATAACCAACGTGAAACATCCCTAGAAAGATTTGAGGTTCTCGCAGCGGTGGTTGTGAAGTGTTGTATCTTCTAGGATGTGATGCTGTTTGGTCTATTAAAAGTCAGCAGTCATTTTGGAGGAACATATTGCCTCCATTGTCAGGGTTGAAGAATAAGACAAGCAGATAGCAAGCAGCGCCTGCTTGCTTGGTTTGTTTGTCAACCATGAAGGTGAAAGTAATATGTACCTCTGAAACATTGGTTGACTTTCAACAGACTACACGTTATATCCTAGAATATGGAACTCTTCAGTCTCTAAAAGAACTGGAACCATGAATATTCAAGGCAGGTCGCAGAGACTGGTGGAATATGGTGAACATTTTTGAAGGGTTCTCAACATTTGATGCTGAGGTATGCCAACTACTGAAGGAATTTATGAAGATGAACAAGGATAATGGTGGTGATGAGGACAGCAAGCAGATGAGGAAGGTGGTCTTCTGAAATGCTCTTAGTCATTAGTTGAAAGAGATCCTTTCATGGAGGAGAGTGTCAAATTCAAGAGAAGGCTGGAGGGTTTGTTATGGCCTTTTGTAAAAACACAGGAGGACTGTAGTGGAACATGAAGCAGTCATCTGTTATGAGTTTCTTGTTGACAGCTTTGTCAGTCCCCAGCCATTCATCCACTCTGGCTTACAGACCTGTGTTGGTACATGTGCGGGTGGATACCGTTGAAGATGAGCTTAGCCAGTAGCCACACAGTACTTGTTACCATATTACATTAATTTCTGTTGTTTTTGTGTGTTTATGGTGGTCGTAAATAAACTATTTCTTAAGTATGTGTGTACATGCTGTACTTATTTATTTTGAACCTTGAATATTAGTATGTGTACAATTTCAGAGGTTGATTCCCCCTACCCCATATTGCCCAGTAGATCAAGCTATTGCACAAGATGAGTTTGATATCTGTGGTATAATTCAAGAACATAACTATTTTGTTGTACAAAGGCTTACTCTATCAGAGGAAGCAGGCTGCATAATTCAGTATTCATTGAGTATTGCACAAAAATTGTCCTGTTAAATTTCCCTAGATCTCTTGGTGCTTGTCAATTTTTGTGTGGAGGGGGGTTTGCAGTAGCATTTTTATTAGATGTGTGTGGGTCTTGAATCTTTGTGGTTCTAAAAATTTTACTCAAACATTGATTTTTCAGTCTTGAACTTTGATAATTTTCAGATAACTCCTACTTTGTGCTGTAGCACACAACTTACTTGATCTGTCAGAATCATAATGCTTGGGTACATGAATGAACTTGTGAGTAAGAGCTGTTTCTGTGCCCACACTGCATCTTCCTATCTTTCAGTACATGTCATCAGTGTTTGATGTAAAAAGGGACGAGTAGTGCTTTTTAATACGCTATGAAGTGTGGCTTGTGTTAAATTACAATTACATTGAAAACATTGGCCTAGTAGAGAATATTCTTGTTGTATTGATTCTCCCATTTTTCTAAATTCATGTTTCAGAATTAAAAAATCGTTCCTGCACATACCTAATTTTTATGACCAACCAAAAGGTCCCACAGACAAAAAAAGAGGCGTGAACACTGTTTAGGCTGTGAATTTACAGTTACCTTTGTATGACTCTGTATTCGTGCAGAAGTTAATACGTAGGCTAATTTTTTATCCATTTTGTGCAAGAATTTTAATAGCAATCTATGACTAGAATAAAAGATGTTTTTACCATATCTGGTTGTATAAGTAATTTTTGCAAATGTGTAGTGTTGTGCATATTTCTTCCACAGGTAACTATCTGCAAGGCTCGAATGGCCCAAGGCCCATGGCAATATTTGAATTATTGGATTATATAGTGAATGAACCACCACCCAAACTTCCAACTGGTATCTTTACAACAAGTTTTGAAGACTTTGTTGATAGCTGCTTGAAGAAAAATCCTACTGAGAGGCCAGACTTGAAAACACTCATGGTAAAATCAGTTGCTTACAGTAGGTACAGTATATCTGGAAGTGTGGGTGATCTCACATTGATAGCATGCTGCTGCTTGTGGTTATTTTATGTTGTGAGTTAAATATAGTGACCGCTTATATGAAGCTAATAGTCTCTTTTCTGCAATTTGAATATACTGTTTGAATAATTATTAAAAGCATTATTTCATCACTGTTGCTATCCATTTCTCCTAAGTTTATGATAACGATTCCAGTGTTTTTATCAAAATTTATTCCACTTTCCCTCTAGTTTTCTGTTCTTTTATATGCTCACAAAGTGAAATCTTATCATCTTTAACTGTGGTCTTCAGTTTTTCTTCATACAAATTTTTCATTGTTTCTCTATTACAGGACACATTTCTGGATGTGACCCAACTTTTCGCTGTTGGAGCTGTCATTTTCCAGTATGCCAACAAGAGTATTTTACATTTCTGACTTACTAATTAACTAACCAACTAACTAACTCACTCCATGGACCTAAGTCCTTGAGAACCCAACACTCAAGACATTCCCAACATTTTATGGAACCTGAAGGTTCATTACTCTCTTCACAAGAGCCCACTACTGGTCTTTATCCTGAACTTCATGAATCCAGCCCATACCTCGCATTGTATTTTTTGAGGACCAATTTTAATGATATCCTCTCATCTGTGACTAGGTCTTTCTAGTGATCTCTTTCCTTCTGGGTTACCACCAAAACCCTGCATGCATTCCTCTTCTCCCATGTGTGCCACATGTCCTCTCCTCTCCTTGCTTTCATCATTCTAATTATATTTGATGAAGAGTACAAGTTATGAAGCTCATTGTGATTGTAGTTTCCTCCGGCTTCCTGTTATTTGATCCCTCTTCAGTTTGAATACCTCCTTGGCACCCTGTTCTCGAGCACTCTTACAAAAATGTTAAGAGACTGTTCCACACCCATACACACTATAGGTAATACAGTTCTGTATGTTTTAATCTTCATGTTTTTAACAGCTGGTGAAAAGCCAAAAGGTTCTAAATTGCACAAATTTAATCTGCTTGTAATTTCCTCATGAATTAAATTTATTGCTTTCATTCCCAAATATTTTAACTTTGCCACATTTTTAAGGGATTGGTTAGCTATGAGTATCATCATGTTTTGATTCTGCTCTGCATTCAGGTGACAAGATATCAACATATATTTAATTTTCTCTTTGTTTGCTTTTTGACTAGCCTTGTCAGCATCAGTTAGAGCTTCTGTGTTTTTCTTTGTGGCATTCATGTTATTCCCCAAGAGATTTATATCATCAGCAGAGATCAGAACCTGGTGTGTCCTGTTCCATCCCGCCTGGATTTCTTGGACCTTCCTAATGGCATATCATGAATAAAAATTTGAAAAGCAATAGTGATAAAGCATTACATTGTTTTACAACATTTTGAATAGAAGACACACCTGACAGATGCTTACCTTTACAGACTTTACTATAGGTTTCATTTGAACACATTTTTTAATAAGCCAGACTGGTTTTGTGGGTATACCAGAGTCAGTGAAAATATTGTACAGTACTTTCTTTTTAAAAGAATCATAGGCTTTCTTGAAGTCTATAAATAGCTGATGTTCTGTATCATTTTGCTTAATTTTTTTTCCAGTATCTGATGAATGCATTAAAGTTCTTTATTGGTTCAGTTAAGACTGGATTTCAGCATGTCAGTACTAAATAGAATTCCCTCCCCTTGAAGTCAGTGTCTCAATTCATGGCTTGGAGCATCGTTTTTCTTCACATTGTGGTATGGGGCATTTTTAAGTTTGGGTCATATTTTTCTCTTATCCTTTTCTCATAATCTTATTGGTTCATTTGAGGTAATTATCTCTCATCTGGTGAGATATCTACACAAGTAGAGCATTTACAAATTATTTACTCCATCATGAATGATAATTAGGCACTGTTACTTTGACACAAGTGTAAGATGACCATAAATCATGTCATGAGTCCAGGACTTTTGATGAACGTGAGTCCAAAAGTGTAAGATTCATCACCCTAAATTGCATATCATTGTTGAATTTTGTATGTAGCTATTGCTTGTAGATATCTGATTCCTTTATCTCGAAAGTGATTCTTTCCAGTCGAAATTAGTATGCTTGACCGTTGTGTTTCATCTGAGGACCAGTACTTCATTAGGAGTCTCATGCTGGTCTGTCTGCCTTGGAATCTTGGAATTATGTCGCCGACAGTGGAAACAGGGATGATGGGTGTTTGCCTATCTTTCTTTTAGAGAAGTAGGTAGTGACAGAAAGGTGGCAGGCAAACACTGCAGGGTATTAATCTCTTCTGGATTTTAACTGAATCAAAGAGAAATGATATTTTGATTACAGGAAAATCTCCCTGCTCTTTGTAGAACCCAGAGGTTAATTATAGAACATTACTGCCCTGTGAATAACATTCTATAGTAGGTATTGAAAGGAAACAATGTAATGAAGAAGGTAACCTGATGGGAAACATGACACGAATTTGCAGGGGAAACATATTCAGACAGGTGGTTCTCATAAGTGTATTCAGATATTTCAGTTCTCTGTGAGACTTTAATTTTGATCTCTGGAGTGTAAAGTGCCAGTAACATGACAGTATTTTTGAGCGCCTTGTTACTTCCATTTAATTGTTGACAATAGCATGTAAAGCCTGTTCATAATAAAATATGCACCATGTAAGAAAGTGAGAAAAGAAGGTTTCACAATAGCCTGTAATTTAGAAAACCACAGTTTTTCTCATGTATAATAGTTCAAGAGGAAAGTCCTTTAAACTTGATAGATATAGAGTGCTGATTCATGTTTTGGTTTCAGAATCATGAATGGGTAAAGAAAGCAGAATCAGAGTACGTTGATATTGCTGGCTGGGTGTGCAAAACCATGGACTTGCTGCTCACAACTCCTACAAGAGTAGCACCCAACTTCTGAGAAACAGAAGACATGTCAGGAGGTCTCGGTAACATTTCTCTTGCTTCAAGCCACCTGCTTCACAGCAATTGTTATTTGCGTTGTTGTGGTGTTATGGTACTTGGAATAGTAAGCAGAGAGTTCGTTAACACATTGCAGACTGGTATGTCCTTTTGACTAAAAACCCAGTACTCAGATATTTTACATACATTTAATACCTTGAGGCAAGGAGCAACATTTTGATGTTCAAGATCAGGTTGGGAAACTTCTGGCATTGGTGGTCTACATCTGACTTTCACTGTTATAACACAGGGTGCATGATTATCAGATAAAAGAATAATAGGTAATAGGTGCTTGGGTTATATTTATTAAACATACATAATTATTACATTTTGAAATCATTACAGTTTACTATTATTTTATTTGGGTGTAGGCTGTTGATGCTTCTCCATATTTTTCACAATGTGAGTTTTGCAGAATTCATAAATGGGCCTTGTACAAATGACCTGTGAGCTTCCCACTGCTGGCTCTTCTTACAGATTATGTTTTTAAGTTGAATTGTGTTAAAATTCATGTAGGTAATTCAGTAGCATTTTATGGAATTAATTTTCAAAACAAGAACCTTTATGTATCAATACCAATGCAGAATTTACAAATTCATTTCATCTCACTACTACTTCTGTATGTAGCACAAACCCTATACTGCCGTCTTAGCTATTTCTTCTTTCCTGGTCTGGATGCAATTATTTTTCCACACTTTATGTTTATTGAAGTCTCCTGATAGTCTGGTTTGGAGGTCCTGTTAGGGACTCAGGGCATTAATTCCTTTGCAGGAGGTTGAGCATCATCTGAACTGGACTGTTATACTTTGCAGTGATCCATGTGCTCCAATCTCATGCAAAAATATGGATTTGCATTCTGATTTTGGTGTAAAGTTGTATATACAAAAAATGCATTGAACAGGGTAGAATTCAGGGGACACAATACAGTACTTCATATCACATTATCCCCCTTCCCCAAGAATGAATAATAGCTTAGGTACTGATTGGCTCTGTCTACAGCTTTCATGTATTTATTATATTCTAAAGTACAACTGGATATCTTTATTGCCCCCCCCCCAATTTGTCTCCTGAGTTTGCCAATTCTGATTCATGAATTATATTAATCATGTGCATCATTTATCTTTCCAAATTTGGACCAAAAGGTCACCTTTTCTATGAAAAAATGATTGCCTCTGTTTTCACAATGTGTATCCTGTTGTGTGTCACAAACATATGGTTAAGTAAAATTGCCCTTTGACACAACAAAAATGTTTTTTCCATCAATCAGTATTTATCAGATTGAATTTTATTTCTTACCACTACATATTTTGGTCCTCATGAAACTGTCATCAGGCAGTATTATATAATATGACTTGACACAGCTCTTTTCCAACCTGTCTTTGTAATATTGGTTTGGTCAGAATGGTGTTATCCCTACTACACCTGTTTCTATTTTCGGGTGGCATATGATGGGCACTGCAAGTTGTCCTTAGAGATCTAACTAATGATGATTGGTATGTAGGTTGTAGGTATGGGAAACTACCTGGATTGATTGGCATGAGACTTAGGGTAACATTACAGGAGCGGCCTCCGTAGTCTAGGAGTAATGTTCCCACCTCATGACTCAAGGTATGCGGGTTCAAACCCGGCGGAGGTCGTGGAATTTTTAAGGGCGGAAAAATTCAGGGAACAAGTCCTCCGGGGGGGACTTTAAGCCATGGATCCCGTGTCTTAGATTTACGGCATGTAAAAGATCCTCGTGTCTCTAGGAGACCTCTGAGCAAAATTAGGCAACAATTTCCCACCCAAGTAGTTTCCAATGCCTCTGGTAGATGGGGGAAATTTCATGTACCGACAGCTGACCTCGTTGGCTGAACGGGGCTGATAGCATGCACCAGTACTGGTAGGGTATGGTGACAGTAGAAATTAAAGGGGGACGCACAATGGACCAATAACTGGTCTAAGTGCATGGGGAAACCCACCCCCTCTAATAATAATAATAATAAATAAATAGGGTAATGTTGCTGGAATTAACCCATAAATGGGAAGTTGGTTCAGCTTGACGATTCAGCTGCATTGTTCTGCACACCACACTCTTAATTTATTTTTCGTAAATGTTTATAGTTGTGATTCCTTACTTGAACTGTGAGTCTACTTCACTGAACTTATTTAATGAATTGGGTTTTGGAGCATTACAACCGCACTTCGGCTGTCACTTCTCGCAACCGTTGGGCGCCACTTCTTGTGACCGTCCTTTTTCTATCTTTATGTTTATTTATTTATTTGCCCGCTTCGGTAGAACACTTGATCATTTATTTGCCTGCTTCGGTAGAACACTTGACTCATTTATTTGCCCGCTTCGGTAGAACACTTGACTCTTCTCAGGGTTGTGTCACGGTAATAACTGGGGCAACGCGGAGACTACACATTTAAAGCTAGTCCGCTGATACAAATCAAAGACTCTATTTCTGCTTAATCACAAATTGTTTATTTCAGAAGCAAACACTATAACTTTATTTGCAAGTGCGGAGTAATGTGCCCTTTTTATATTATAAAAGATTAATCGAACCAAATAAAGACTGTTAAATTTAGATATACTTGGAGAGTACAGTCCAAAGATGTCTACCTCATGTGAATTCAAAATGCCAAGTGCTTCTGCCCACTCTATTCTGCGGGAGCGTCACCTCATCCACTGTAAAGGATTTGAACTGATGGCCTTTCTCCCAGACAAGAATAGTTTCCTAATGGCTGATTTTAACTGCCAATTCATCATACCATCAGTACTAGACAGTCACATTATTAACTTTTAGAATGAAGAGATCCAAAGATATTTAACCCGGAACTCTACATGTGAAAGCGGTTATTTCTTAGTTTAGGGTCTAATTACACCCTTTCGAAGACACTTTTATAACAGCTGCCCTATTAGCAAAACAACATTTACATGTTCGGCAAACTACGGACATGTCTTTTCATAATGGGCCATGTCCCTTTTGTGGTCACCCAAGCTGCAGGTAACAAAACAAGGCAGTTGTTCCTGTCTAAATGCGAAAAGCAAGTCATAACTTCTTAATGGATGGGTCTCCCTTATAAATCAGTCACACTATTGAAATGGCTAAAGGGGAACATAGCATCCATTAAAGAGTATTAAAAGGTTTGGACTGTTACAGCATGCAGGATCTCTCATGTCCTTACACTTCAGAACCTGAAGAAAGATTTAGGAGCTTGGAGATGGCTTGCACATTCCCACACTGGGGGTTAAAAAATTCAAGTTCTGCATGATGCTGACTGATACATGCCATTCCATCTCCCATAGGGATTATACTGTCTAACCAGCATTCTGTATTTTAAAAACAAAGAGGACACTACAGGATCAACATTTATTTTATTAAAGCTTTTATAGACACAACATGTTTCGGCCCCTGTATCAAGCCAACATCAGTGTTCGGCTTTAAGCTGCTAAACTGCATCCAGTTATCATTCAGTTCACTAAATAAGGATCCGTATTATGTTTTTGAACTTAATTTAAATACATAAATATGAAGATGATATGTTCTCATTTACTGTTGTGGTTGCTGATGTAGTTACAGAAACAGGTGTCGCACTGTTAGCTGAACACATGGGAATCATCTGTGGGACTTGCATTCGTTCCTCTCCTTGATGACACAGGATTTTAGCTGGTAACAAGCAGAGCAGTATTCACCTTATGGCCTCTCAGTTTGATGCCTATGATGTTGCGGGATACCGCACGGAGGGCCTTTTGCATGAGAGCTTCATTTGGGTTGTAGACTTAATGCATTGCCTAGCAATAGACGCCCTACTGTTGCGTGATGTCACAACCTAGTGGGGAGGGGTGTTTACCGAGCATTGTTATGCAATGAACACTCGTTGCTACGGGTATTGCTACGCAACAGTCTCAGCAATTTACGTTCTTTTGTTGCTCAGCGATGGATGACATAAAACACGTCACATTGCTCCCTCCTTAAGGCTGTTCGTCCTGAATAGCCTATTGGTGCACCACATTTACTTTTCTTCCGAGGTTTCTTCTCGTTGTGTTTTGTGGTTCGGCTACTCCTCTTGCAGTGGCTGTTCTCCAACCATTACATTCGCTTCTTCCTTAAGGCCAGTTGGTCCCAAGTGGTTCACTGCTAAAGTGCTAGGACATCCACATGTATCCCCATCATCCACATTTTTTTCTTCTTTCTGACTGTCTCTATCTCTCTCTCTCTCTTTCGCTCATTCTCTCAATCTCGTTCACTCTCGCTTGGGAGGCTGGTGCTTCTACGTTATGAATTAAAATATTAGTATGTAATAAATGATGAATTCAGAAGTCTCATTGCCCAGTGCTAATTTGAGTGCTCTTACAAAACCAGAAAAGGAATTCCAAAAACCATAAGGCACTCCCTTGTGCTGATATACAGTTGAGTCTAACAAAAATGCTGTGTAAGGGCATCAGCAACAGTTATTACTGAACTCCAGAGAAGTCATAAATTTAGTTCCATAAAATCTTTGGAGCAACTCGTGGTTCTCTTGTGGTCTGGGATGGTATCTTTGTTGACATGACGAGTGTCAGTGCAGAATCTAGGCTCCTTTCCTTCTCTGTGCACTACAGTGACAGGGTTTATGTATGGAGATTCGGATATCTCTAATATATCATCCTTAATCATCTGACATATCTGTTTCCTAATTATTGAGCATACAGCGAAACGTATAACACGGCAATAACTTATAACTGGGTTCTTCTCTGTTAATTTAAATTCATACTCCATCAGAGTACATTTCCCTGGCTTTGAAGTTAAGCTATCTCTGTATTTCATCATCAGATTTATTAAGTTTTCTTTCTCTGACAAGAACAGGTTCTGGTTCTTATGAATCAAAGTAGCCATCTCAGTAGGAGAAATAATTTTGCAGTCTGGAGTGTCATTATTAGATTTTTGAATCTGAATTGAATTTAGTGGGATCCCTTCCAACTCCTTACATTCACTATGCCTCAGCTTCTCAAAATTGTCTTCTTCTTCTGCATTATAAAATATGCTATCTGTTCAATGAACAAATAAAACTCTGTCTCCATCAGTAAACTCATTAGCTTTATTCCTGTCATCATTAAACATACATGTATGGGACTTGCACAGTGACATAACTGCTTTATTTACTGCTTCACTAGGAAGGAATTTCTCATCCCGCTGAAACCACTTCCATCTCTCTCACAAACAGAGGCTTCTTCCATTCTATTTTTACTGTGAACCCTTCAAAACTGCTTTGAACAGCTGTAAGTGGCTCTGGCTTGCTCACTCACAGTATATGACTGTCAGGGGTCATTGATCTTGGAAAACTTCTTAAATAAACAATCCTATGGCAAAGAATTACTGTTATCTACTTCAGCTATTCTCTGGCTAAATTCACATTTCCTCAATATATAACTGATATATTTGTCATTAAAATCTGTGATCATCCCACAATCCCTTGCAAAGTCACACCCAACAGTGACTGACCCAATTAACTGTGGTGACACTAAGAACACATTTTCAAACACATCCTGTCCAATAGCAAATTCTAAGTATACCTAGATCTTAAGCTGCTTTGTCCTGTTACCAGATGCTGTGGTGAGGACTGTGTTATTAATTCAAATCTCGTTTGTTGGTAACCCTTCCTGTACTAGTTGATTGTACAGTTTCTCAAATTATGGACACTTCAGACCCGTTGTCAATGTAGCAAATGACTACCTGGTCTCCGAATTTAACTTCTACACATGGGCAATAATTTAAACTTGCTTCATTGGTTTAAAAGACAGTTATCTCACTCATATCCAAAGAGTTAAATTTATATGTATCACTGTCAGAAAAGTTCTGGTCTTGACGATCTTGTGTTCGCTTTTCAGTTGGGGTTCAAGTTCCAGTCCGCAACTAATCCCATTTCTAGTTCTGTGAATGTTTGTTGTCTCACCTCTGTCGTTTTGAGAAACTTGGCTTCAATAAGGAGGTGAGTTGGGATCTAAAGTCTGTTGGTTTGATGAGGAACACTGATGGTCAACTTCTTTTTGTCTGCCATAAATTTTCCTGGTGTTTTCTCTTTCTCCACACCAATACTGTCCATACTGTTTAACCCTTCAGTACCGGGGGGGTTTAAATCGTTTTTCCACTCCAATGCCGGCGGCTATTTAAATGATTAACTCAGAGAATGCAGCACTTAACTTAATGCCTAATAAATGGGGAAAAACTGGAGTTTTGTTTTTCAGATTTTCACACAACATCCAGAGAAGTATATAGAATTAGAGTATTGATCCACACTACTTTAAAATTATTTTTGGGCCAGTAAGCGTATAAAAATTATGAACAATAGTATTGCATTACCTTAAAAATTCAGTCGTGTGTGGTAGTCGCGGAAACACTCAATGCAGAGGCCCACGCCGCATGCATCACACCAGTACACTGTGTCCCTTCTCCTCCTGCGCTTCTGACACACAACACACTTTCTCTGTGGTCTAGATTTCTTTGCCGTTGGAGGAATCTTGCTGATAAAATGTTGTTCTGTTAGACGGGGCACTGTGTTGTCTGATGGATGTGAACCCGGCACTTTATGTTCCACAGCACTCACATATTTCACGAACAGGCCCTCAGTCAACTGAATTCTGAATGATAATTGCTGAATTTGTGTGCCTGTGTTACTCCTGTACACTATCATTGAATTCAGAATTGAGGCATTTAGGAGCCTGCGAAACAGCTTCATGTACCACTTATTCATGTGCTTCCTCTCGATCAAATAAGGGTGAAGCAGCTGGTCCTTCAAATCGGCCCCTCCCATTGACTTATTGTAGTCCAATACTGAAACTGGTTTCGCCACCTCCTTGCCTCTAACTGTAACAGTCCTGGTGTCGTGACTGTGATAGGTGGAGATCATGGTGACTATTTTTTTGTCGAACCACTTTGTGACAGAAACGGGTCCAGAATGTTGTGCCACGATTTCGCCTTTTTTTAGTTTAGTGTTTTTCACTTTTGGAGGCACATTCTTACGATTCAATTTCAGAGTGCCAACACAGTCAGTCTTGTGCGTTATCTTCAGTACCCTGGCCAGAGTTGGGGAATTGTAAAAATTATCCATCCACAGAGTCCGACCTTGATTCAGGAGAGGTTCTACCAGTTTCAGGACAATGGCTGAAGTTTTGTTGGTGTCCGCTGTGATCAAGGGGGAGTCAAGTTCTGTATCCTTGCCTGTATATACGATGAATGACCATAAATACCCCGTGGTGGAGTCACACAACTCGTAAGTTTTAATTCCAAATTTGGCTGCCTTCAGAGGGAGGTACTGTTTGAAAGACAGACGGCCTTTCCAAAGTGTCATAGATTCGTCAACTGAAATGTCCTGGTTTGGGAGAAAGAGTTCCTGAAATTTCTTATTGAGATGGAAAATTATTGGGTAAATTTTGAACAGTTTTTTTGGTCCTTCAAAAGTGCTGATGTTTTCATTGTTGGCGAAATGCAAATATTTACATATTAGCTCCAGTCTGTCTCGCGTTATAATGTCTCTAAATCCTGGTGTTGAAATTACTCTTTTTGTTGTAAAATAAGACCGAAGAGTTGGTTTCTATACAATGCCCATGAGCATGAACAAACCCAAGACAACATAAATCTCTCCCTCTGTCACGGGTTTCCATGCCTTAGAATGCGACTTCACTGATGGTTCACACCCCCGTAGAAACTGCTCTGCATATCTATTTGTTTCTGCGACTGTGGTTTCAATAAGTTCCTTGTTGAAAAACAACTCGAAAACGTCCACAATTTCTGTTACATCTTTCGCAGGGCCTTGAGCTCCGACACTGCCCGTGAAATGTTCTCTCTGACCCCTATAGTTCTGCATATCCTCCCAAACGAATTCTTGATTTGCACTGTTATCTTCATCGCTGCCCTCATTTCCAACAGCATCCATCAAAGCACGATCATCTAACTCGTTTTCAGAGTCAAAATCCGAATCTGATAGACTTTGTTCTGAATCACTTTCAACCAAACACTGTATGTCCTCATCACTCATCACTCAACACACACGAACATCCCTTGCTTGTTCCTGCCATGGCTGCTACATGCAAACTGCATAAGCTATGTGGAACGAAAGGGAACCTCAAGGAATGCAAACAAGGCATTTGTTTATCATTTCCAACTGCAGTCATATCAGAGGTCAGTGTCACGTATCATTCTTGTTAGGTTTTCTACACGCGGTTTCTCATTCCGTTCAAGAGGCAGCACTAGTCACTGGCTGAATGGAAATCGATTTTTTTTTTCGACCAACATGCAGAGAGATCACAGACTTTGCTTCGACCAACACACAAGATCACAGACTATAAACCTAGCATATTTAGTTCCTAACTCTCCAACAGATGGAAATAGATTTGTACGGCAATACTGCACCCTAGACGGTGAGCTACAAAACTTCTTCAGAGACTTCTAATGGAAAAAAAAATACCTCGGGAAGTTCAAAGTGGGATAACGAATATACGAAATGATAGACAGAAATTTCCTCTTTCATTTCATAGCAAAAATATTACTTTATATGAAAAGCAGCACAAGACGCACAACGTCGCCCGGCGAGATGTGGCATTTAAATGCCGCCATGCTATGTACGACGCCCGGCACTGGAAAGTTAACCTTTAACATACAGACTTTTAAATTTCCAGCAGCCCTGTATGGCCGGAATTTAAATCACCCTAATTAATTAACACTGCAGACTTTCAGAAAAAAATGCATATTTTCCGTTATATGCAACATAGAAATATGAACTAAAAAGAACCTGAAAGACAATAAAATTTTCTACAGATACACAAAAGAGCAAGTTTTACAAATGAAAATTAACTGTGAATATTTTGTCATGAAATGCAAAATATAATCTTAATTATATACTAGCTGTGCCCGGCCACGCCTTGCTGTGGCTCAGTCTGCCCGTTCATCCCCAGTTTGATTTGAAATTACTCGACGCATTGCTTCCGCTCCGCGAGTACGACCTAAGTTTGATCTTCTGCGAGGCATTATTTGGATGAACTAAAGCAGATCAATTGCACCGAAGAAGAAGAAAGAAAGTTATTATGTATATATAGATATTTATACAATGTCTTATCTTAAACACATAAATAATTGCAAAACATTAAAAAAGGAAAGAACACGAACTGGAAAACAAAGAAGAACAAAAAAAAATAAAAAATACTGACAAAATATTTCAATTCAAACGCAGATCAGTTGACACAGCCCAATCCCACCGCCAATTGCACTGGAAAATAAGGGAAACAGAAAAGAAAACGAAATGAAGAACAATGAAAAATAAAGTATACTCACAAAATGAATGCTACGGTAAACGACTCAGCCCAATTCCAACGCAATGTAACATGAAATAATAAAATCAAAACGAAAATTTCGTTGCCACAACTGCTCGTTGCCACGGTTATTCCTAGGCAACGATCTGTTGGTATTCGATGGACGACGTATAACGCGTTACAATATATTAATATTGAATACAATTAATACTTTTCCATGTTTTTACCTGTCACAGGTGTGACATCTACATAATAGAAGAAGAAAGGAAGTTATAACAAAAACATATGAAATTGCAAAACATTAAAAAAGGAAAGAACACGAACTGGAAAAGAAAGAAGAAACAAGAAAAATAAAAAATACTGACAAAATATTTCAATTCAAACGCAGATCAATCGACACAACTTAATCCCACCGCTAATTGCACCAGAAAATAAGGGAAACAGTTAGGAAACCGAAATGAAAAACAACGAAAAATAAACTATACTCACGAAATGAACACTATGGTAAACGACACAGCCCAATTCAAACGCAGATCAATCAACACAGCTTAATCCCACCGCTAATTGCACCAGAAAATAGGGAAACAGTTAGGAAAACGAAATGAAAAACAACAAAAAATAAACTATACTCACGAAATGAATGCTATGGTAAACGACACAGCCCAATTCCAACGCAATGTAACATGAAATAATTAAATCAAAATCTATCACGCGAGTATTTATTTTTCCTCACTTTTACACTTATACACTTTGCAAGAATTGCCACTTGCAGTAACAAAACCAATCCTATTTCGCCTAGCTTCTGGCCCAGTGCTATGCTGCCTATGTTGTCATGGCTGGATCTTGACTGTCTCTGGCGGCGGCTTCCTGTAGACTGTTTATATTCCTAGGCAACGATCCGCTGTCTCAACAGTTCGTTGCCACGGTTATTCCTAGGCAACGATCTGTTGGTATTCGATGGACGACGCATAACACGTTTTTTACCTGTCACAGGCGTGACATCTATATAATAGGTATATAAAAACGTGCGTGTTCGAATGAAATGTTGTGTCAAATTTCAAAGCAATCGGTGAAGAACTTTCAGAGATCTTCGAGGAGAGACAAACGAGCATTTACATTTTTATTTATATAGATATGTTATGAAATTCCAAAGGACTTCCCTGTTGCTTTTTCTTCAACTTGAATCATGGTGATATTGTAAATATAATCACGCTATATACAATAACATTTTGTCAGTAACTTGAACTTAAAATGCATTTATTTAACACCTGAAAATTATTGTTTTAATATAAATTAACATTTATTAACATTAATAACATTTTGTTATTGTATATGCGAGTTTGAACTGCGTCACTTCACAGTTTATGATACCTCACACTCTGACATGCGTGTGCCACTTCTCGAAGCAGTCCACCACACACAGCGCAACATTACACTTTTTACAATAGTAAAGCATGCTTCTGCTTTTCTTATTTTGAGAACAAACACGACGTCTTTGTTTCCCTTTGGTTGGCCAGTGTTGTGAATGTTCCACCTCCAGTCGACTCAGTTGGCCTCCCCCGAGAAACGCCACTGACCATGATATTCACCTCATGCAATTGAAGAATCAAATCCCACATCAATATTTCGCTGAATTTTTTTATGTGTCATTTTTCCACCACATGACTTGTGTAATAGATATGCTTTAGAATAGTCATATCTAGAAGGTGGAAAAACAATTTCTTTGTCCACTTCCGTGTCCTCCGAGCAATGCCATAACTGTTTACCATCCTGTCAGATTTATATACAAAGCCCATGTGTGCATTGTAGTCTTCAATTACATGGGGTTTGACAGCATGGCCAGATTCATCTCGGAAGTTGCCTTCCAATGGAGGAGGGTGCATATTCGTCAGAACATACACATCACGCTTGTCTTTCCAACAAACAACACTTAGATGTCCCTTGACTCTTGTAACAGTATCCCCTTTTTTCAATTTCATTGACTTGGGCAGACTTTCTTGTGGCACTCCACGCCTATCATTGCGAACGGTGCCACATGAATTTATTTTCCTGTCTAAAAGATCATCAAATAAAGCAGGAGAACTGAAATAACTGTCCATGTAAATTTTGTGTCCCAAGTCTTCAACTCTTCGAATTAGCTGGAGAAGAATGCCATGTGTTGATGTAATTTCTTCTGTCGCAAGTTGCCTTTGTTTGCCCAAATAAACTATCATGTCATAAGTATACCCCAAAAAATCGCAAAGCTTGTACATTTTTATACCAAATCTTTTGTGTTTCTTTGGAATATACTGACGAAAAATCACTCTTCCTTTGAACAACACTGTGACTTCATCAAAGCAAGACGTTCTGCTGGATTGTAAAGTTCACAAAATTTGTTTTTGAGATTGTCAAAAATGTTTCTAATTTTCCAGAGCCTATCATACTCTGGGTCATCTTGATTGGGAGGAGCTTCATTATTTTCAAAATAAAGGAATCTCAAAATATGGAAGAAATGGTCTCGTACCATGGTGTTACAGTAGAATGGAGTGTAGTATTGCTCATCTCTTGGCCAATGATCTTTGAGGGTGTCCCGTTGATCGTGGCCCATTTGAATAATTATTGCCAAAAAGTTATATATCTCTTCAATTGTAACGTCAGGCAGTTGAACAGAAGGGCCTAGAGCATCTTGGCATGCCATAAATTGGTGGAAATATCTGTTGGTTTCTTGTAACAAAATTTGGAATATTTGCTGGAAAAACAGAATGAAAATGGAGAAAGGAGAGGACTATGCATTTATATTGGGAGCAGCTGATCTATTGAGTCCCCTCGGAGGACCAGTGAAGTCTAGTACCTTTGGTGCATCCTCTGGTCTTCTATCATGAAACCTAATTTCCGTTTCTTGTGCCTCATTACCTGATGATGATGATGATGACATATTTTCATGAGGTTCAGTGAACTCATTGAGTTCTTCTAACTCTTCATCAAATTGCTCTTCCATCAATATTTCCTCCAGTTCTTCTGCATCGAGAAGTTTTGAATATCGGGCACGTTTTTGAGGTTTCATCTTGGGGGAGGGAGGTTTACAGCTAAATTGAATAAATTATAATCTTAATTTCATGCATCCTGCTGTGTGCTACAATATACAACTCTTTAATGAACCGTCACAACACAGCAAATAGTAAAATATCAAAGTCAGTGTTCAGCTGTGGCTTTGCTACATGTTTTGGCCACTATCGGCCATCATCAGGCAAATACATATCAACAAAAATCTACCATTTAACTGCAATCATAAAATGGATATAACACTGTTAATCGTACAAATTTAAAAATGCTTATGTAAAAAATACAAAAGTTCAGATTATATAAAAATTAAAAGTTGGAAGTATTATAACAAGATAAACTATTAATGATGTTTTCAAAAACATTGAATCAGTCGTTGGATATACTTTGTGTGCATTTCCATAGACAATAGGGAAATTCAATATTACTTTATATAGAATATTTTAAGAGAGGCCCATGGTGTAGCAATTAAATAACTGTGTAATGCTGCCTCGTCATTAAGAAGAATTGTCCGTATTGCATGGAAAGCAGACAACGACTGTCGACTCTCACCTGTTAGTAATACTCGCAAAATAGTGATGCAAAGTAATTGTAATAGTAGTCAAAAAGAGTGCCAGTCTGACACTGATACTGAGAGTCACAGTGACGACGATGCCTTTTACTCACAAAGTAATACTGGCTCAGTGGTTTTATACCTCTTCCGAGACACAAAATAAAAATAATATACAAAGAAATATATGACAGTCTAAAGGGGGCTACACACCTTCAGTTTATCTGTGCAGTTATCTGTCGTAAATAACTGTGTGAAAATCTGTACATTTATCTGAACTGAAAGTGTGTAGGATACCTTCAGTTTTTGCCTCAGTTCAGTCCGATTTTTCTTCAGTTCTCTCTTCACTTTCGACAGGTTTGGTTGTGTTCTAAAATAAATAAAGTTCAATGGGTGACAGAAAAAAAAGAGCTGCAGTTTGTTGCATAATTGCTGCAGTGTTGCTAGAAGAAGAAGAAGGCAAAAGGAGAAAACGCCGTGAACGTTGGTGCAATGATTGGTATCTGCAAAGAAGCGTTTTACCCAGTGATTACCATTTACTGAATGAGTTACAAGAAGGAGGGGAAATTAACGATTATAAAAATTACCTAAGGATGGACGAAAATACATTTCAAATTTTATTGAGCAAAGTTGTTTCCCTCATCGGAAAAAAGGACACAGTCTTGAGAGAAGCAGTATCACCGCATGTGAGACTGATTGCGACTCTTCGGTTCCTGGCAACTGGGAGAAGTTTTCAAGATTTGACATTTTCAATGAGAGTATCTCCTCAGGCACTCGGAGAGATAATAATGGAAACATGCATGGCAATACGGAAAGCACTGCAAAATTTTATTCAGGTTAGCATACTTTAATTATTTGCTAAGACCATAGGTATGACTGAATAAATATTCATAAAATAGGAGCCATAGTTTATTACCATACTCACTAAATAAAAATGTACATGTATATAGAAATACAAAATAAAATTTACACATTGAGTAGGTATGTACGTATGTATATAATGTTATTGTAAATTATTGTATTCGTTGTCATCGTACGAGAATCCCTCCAACAGAGTCCTTGCCGTTTGGGGTTCAGAATGTTGACGGTACGAATTTGAACTCCAACTGGGAGATGGTGATGAAGTGGATAAAGGCCCTGATGGGTGAACCAGATAGCTGCCTCTGGTTAAAAGGCCCATTTGACCATCAAACAATGTTTCATTGATTACTTTATCAGCAAACATTAGCTGTTGCTGAGTTAATTTCCTTAATTTCACAGCGTATCCCTTAGCCCCTATCAAAAACTCATCGTCTTCAGCTTCCAAATACCGCGTGGCCTTTGTAAGGAGATCATGTGATGAAGGGGCCGACTTTCTCTTTCTGCTAGGTTGTGTAAACGAATTGACTGTGGGTGTAAGTCCTGAAGAAGTTGATGGAGAAGATGGAGCAACGTATAACAAAAACATAAATATTTGTTACCTAAATCATTATTAAATTAAATAATTAAATAGTTATTTTAATTTCTGATTTTAGCTTCCTAAAAGTGAAGAAGAGTGGAAACAAGTCGCTCATGATTTCGAAGAAAAATGGCAATTTCCGCACTGCCTTGGTGCAGTTGACGGAAAACACATTTAGATAAAAAAACCTGCGAATTCCGGCTCTCGTTAGTTCAACTATAAATGAACATTCAGTGTTGTATTGATGGCAATAGTTGATGCAAAGTACGAAGTTTTGTTGGCTGATGTTGGAACAAATGGACAGTCTCAAAAAAGGTGAACTGAATATTCCACTTCCCGAGCACCTTCCAGGAAGTAACAAAACTGCTCTGTATGTCTTTGTTGGGGACGAGGCATTCCAGTTACAAGATAATTTCATGAAACCCTATTCTTTTTCTGTGCTTAATCATGAAAGGCGCATTTTTAACTATCGCCTTTCTAGAGGAAGAAGAATTGTTGAAAATTTTTTTGGAATTTT